TTCGGAAAGAATAAACCAGTTTTATTAAGTAAGGACTTGTGTCGCTAAAGTTTCGTCAGAACAAAGTTACGGAAAGTTAATTAACAAACGGAGACGTAACAATATAAACAAAAACTCGATCCTAACATTTCTGATAACATAAGTGTAGAAACATGAATTATTAAACAGCAGTTGTATAACCCAGCTGTTTTTATTATTGCCCCTTTTAATTATTTATAAAATTATAAAACAAGACAGAGACGTCAAACACTATCAGTCATAAATAAGTAAATATAATAATTTGGTGTGTTACGGCTAAATCTGAAAATGGTTACAAAATTACCCTCACTACTGAATATGAAAAGGGAGAAGAATAAAATAAAACAATGTTTGTACCGTTTTCTGCATTTCATCCAGAGGAGAGAACAAACTGATTACTATTATTTCAAGAGTGTTTGAACTTGAAGCTGGAAGATGAGTTTCAGTGTCTTTATTCACAAACCAGGATATTTAACTTGAGCGGATGACCGTTATTAAAAGCTCTCGTATGCTGGTTTGGTTAAGTGTAGTCGTCCATCTCTGCCGGGGAAGAGATGTCCATATTTTTTACTGTCACATACACAATTCTGACTTTGTTAGCCCTAATCCGCTGCCCGAAGGCGCGTCTCTCTTCTTCTGAATCCGTGTCACAAACCGAGGCTGTCACTCGCAGGAACGGTTCACTGGCAGTTAAATAAACTTCGCTGCGGGGTGCCGACCCGGTCTCCCGTCGTCTCCCCATTGGGAAAAAGACGACATGCTACGCCACAGATCTTCTTTAGGGAATATCTACAAAATCTGGATATTTATTGAAAAGAAAAATCAGTTTATTCTACAAAATGAGAGTGAAAATATTTAAACCTTTAATATTTGGTACATTTCATTTCTTTCATTCATAACTCTGCGACTGTGAATTATTACAACCTGAAATCAGCTAAAATATAAATTTCAATTAACCCTCCAGAGGGCGAAATATTTTCTTATAATAAAAAAATGTTATAAGGCGGATTATCAACACGCCATCTGAAACACTATAATAAATAGAAACACTTATTTAAGACTTATTTACACCTTAGGCATTCGGATTGTAGTAACAGTTATTAATTTACATTTAAAGAAGAAGAATAACTCTTAACTGCAAAACATAACATAAATTTAATTATCATGCTTCTAACATATTAAATCCAGTTTTTCATAAGACATCTATAAAGGTGATGCTAATATATATTCATATAACATCTATAGAAACAGATAATAATACATAATCAAGGTTTGTATTTTATGCCTAGTTTTGACAGATATCAATTCCAGTTTGGTGGACTATAATATTTCAAATGATTTGGTTAGTTTATATGACAGCCGACGCTTCAAATGCTAATACCATTAGATCATTCGGCTTCTGGAATAGAAGGCTCTCATATACTACGCATCCATATATTTCAGCAATTTTTCCTCTTGAAGTTTATTAAATGTCACATTTGCTTAGGGTCATACCCTTCCTGACTCCCCATAGAATTACTAAGTTTAGATCTCGCAAACAGAAAGCTTTTGTTTCCTCCACCTATGCAAGTTTCATTTACCGATGTGTTAATATGAAAATATGTGAATCTGTTTTAATTTTGAAGGTAGCTTAATCCATCCGATTACGTTACTTTATGGCGATCCACATAAACCTTGGTTAGTCGAGAAAGGAAATACATTTTCGTAAATTAACTTACATTAACGTAACGTTAACTTCATAACACTATTCAAAACATAGCATCCAGAATTTTCTATTCCAGAAGCCGAATGATCTAATGATATTATCATTTGAAGAGTTGACTGTCATATAAACCAACCATTTGTAGCGTTGTTCTTCGTCGGCTGTCAGAAATCAACCGGATTTAACCCGGTTTTAGAATGACCTACGAGCGTCTCAAACTACGCAAATGTTAGTAACCGTGTCACCTCACCCTTTAGCGACCGCCACGTGTGAAAAGTCTCCCTGCTGTGTCTCTACCGCTCGACTCGGCATGCTCAAAGTGCATTTCTAATACGTTTCTCGACTCCTACAGAAGCTTCTTCTTTCCGCGCTCGTGGTGTGACATCTTGCCGTCAGGGTGGAATGTGACACTTGCTTCTGATCAATTAGCAGGCAAAAGCTTCTTGTTTTTCTCATTCTAGTAACTGTCCCATAACCTGTGCAAAAATATAACAATATACCACTTTACAATTGCGTTTATTTAGTGATTTTCATAATAAATATCATAACTGCTAATCCTATATATGACATCCACTTACTAGTTCAGCCTATAGCAAAAATGGCTGTGACTATTGTAATAAAACCTGGGCAGTATTACTAAACGTATCATTGCGTACTGTGTAGGGTAGTTTTAAGTTTATTTAACTATACAGAAAATAACAGCGGCTGTATAACCGTTGAAAGCCAACCGTTTCAATGTAGTCTGTAGTTTATATGGAGGCTCATAATCTACTACATGCATACGTATGTAGCTGCGTGCATGCCGTGGATGTAATTTGATGTTTATATGACAGGCATGGCACATGTCCATAGCGATTATTAACTTGTTGTTGCAACTGTATTGATGTCGCGTAACATTTCTTTATATATAAGGTTCCTGCCCTTTCGGACACGACGCTGCTAACATGATCACATTTTTTTACCACTACATGATCGATTTGGACCATGTTACACAAACGTATAAAACATTTTTCAAATGTCTAGGTTGTCTCCCACAACCGAAATATTTAAGCCGTAGTTTAAAAGATAGCATCAAGCTCAGTTTCGAGCATCGTATCGGAGATCACGGTGATGGCTGATGGTAAGTGTCGAATTATAGCCAACACTGCGTGATTTCTAATTTTATAGATACTGCAGATAGAGTAGCCATCGTTGAAGCTGACTATATGGAGTGGCAAGAACCGTGCAATCAGGAGATGGCGATTATATGCGAAAGTGAAGCAGAAATTTTGTAGCTCTATGCATTATTTAGAAAATATTTAGTTTCAGATAAAGTATGCAGCAGAGACGGTCCACCAGAATTTAGGGTCATCACAGTGGAAGAGGGTCGTAAAATTGTTACGATCCAAACTCCATCAGAAATGGAGGGGGGTTTATTAATATAATAAATTCATAATTGTTAATTAACACGTTTTAGACCTTGTAGAGTGCGCAAAATGTCACTCTATTAGGATATCTGGCCAATTGCAGCAAAACCGTGACCGGACTTACTATGGCTAGTGGAGAGGAGGAAGAGGAAGGGAGAATATAACAACTATGAGAAATATTTAAAATATTTATTTGTATACATATGCTAGTATATTACGAGACATATTTGCATTAAATATATATGCATACATCTATATAATTTGAACAATTCATATGGCTAGCTATATATACGGTTTTTCAACTTAAAGGACTACAAAGTTTGAATGCGTATATATATATATATATATATATATATATATATAACCAACATGCATTTATAAAACTCATGCCGTTACAAAATCCAGTCCATGCACCATTCCAGCA